AGAAAGTATTTGATAAAATACAACATCCCTTGTGCAGGTTTTCATGTGAATATGAACTTCCAACTCATTTGAGTGAAACCAAATAGCTGGATTATATGTTAAGAGTATGTTTAGTTTTGTGAGAAAATGCCAAACAATCTCCCAACATGGCTGTGCCATTTTATATTCTCATCAACAATTAATGAGTGTTTTTGGTCCATTCTTTTAACTGGGTAACTTGTCTTTTTTAGTGTTAAATTTAAGAGTATTATATATATCATGTAGACACAAAGTCCCTTACCATTTTGACTATTGCCTCCCCCCACGTTCTCTGGATCTTGATGCCACATTTGCATCACTCGTAGACACATGGAAGAAGTATTCTGCTGTTCTAAATGCCAGGCTGTGATGGAGAACTTCAGGATTTGATCATACTCCTCCAGGCCCATCTCCAAGAGCATACTATAGCTCTTCCCTCTCTATGGATCTGCCTTCATAGATGTAAAGGTAGGAGAGACTGGCTCTTCAATCTGTATTCTTTTTACAGTTTTTTGTTTTTGTTTTTGTTTTGGCCTTCAAGTTTTTGTCCTAAGTTATTTGGGTTCCTGAAAACCAGTCCTTAAAACTCAAACTCCTCCCTCGAATTATTGTCTCTGGGATCAGCATTAAGTGTATTTTAAGGGGCTGGGGTTGTGGCTCAGCAGTAGAGGGCTCACCTAGCACGTGCAAGGCCTTGGGTTCAATCCTCAGCACCACGTAAAAATAAAATAAAAGTATGTGTCCAAAAACAAATACATATATATATATATATATATATATATATATATATATATATATATATATGAAATGTATTTTAAAATTAAAAAGCAAGAACTTGATTCCTTTGCTATCTCCTTCCCTGATGTCTCTAAGTTTGAATCGGTCCATGGCAAGGATATAAGGATATCATGCTGCAAAATTGTATCTCGCTATATAAGATGGTTGTCCAAAAGCAAACATGAGGGTCAGCAGGTGCAGCTGCCTGGGTAGAAAAGCTCAGTGATAAAAGCTGGACATGGTGCTGTAAACCTGTAATCCCAGTTGCTCTGGAGGCTGAGGCAAGTTCAATGCCAGTCGGAGCAATTTATCAAGACACTGTCTTAAAAAAAAAATAAAAAGGGCTGATGATCTAGCTCAGTGGCAAAGCACACCTATTTAATTCCCTGTACAAAACAATAAAATAAAAAACAAACAAAACAAAACCCAGTGACAGAAAGTAATCCAAGAAATCCAAGAGTCATTCTGAAGTGTGAATACCAACATTGATTTGTATTCCAGTTTGGTAGTCCTGGGTCCTCTGTGGGTCCAGGGAGGTTAAGGTGTTAGAAAGGCAATTGGAAATTGAAAGGAAAGTGAGGAACTGGTGAGCAAGAAATGAAAGACGGAGACCTGGCAGATACTCTCTTGGAGCTGACAAATAAAGGCACATCTCTCCATAGATGGAGAGAGGCAAAACAGCCTTGGGGTTTGGGGCTTTTATGGGGGAGACTCAGGAATTTCATCCTGGTGGGGTTGGTATGAGGGAGTAGTGAGCCTTTCTCAGAAAGGCCCTTAGGCAAGAAAGTGAAAGTTTTTCTTAAAAACAGCCATCCAGATGCTAAGCTAAGCAAGGAATTTACAGAAATAGCTCAGACAAAGAGGAGAATCCTTTTTAATGATATTGTGATGTTTTATAGAACCCTAAGACCAGAAAGTAGTTAAGTCTCTGGAACAAATGGAAGCAGGAACTCAAATGTAGCCACCTCTGCCTTTTGGTTTATTAGATCACCCAGATCTCCTAGTTTTTGCATTTCCCAGGGGCATTGGAAGAGAGCATGAACTTTCTTTTCCTTTTATTGGTATGGGGATTGAACCCAGGGTGCTTTACCACTAAGATACCTCTCAGGTCCTTTTTATTGTTTGAGAGAGGGGCTTGCCAAGTTTGCTGAGGCTGGCCTCCAACTTTYGATCCTCCTGCCTCAGCATTCCTAGTTTTTGGGATTATAGGCATGTGCTACTGTGCCAAGCTCTGCTCTTTCTTTTAAAATTACACTTCCAAAAACAAAAACAAAAACAAATTACACTTCCAAAATTCTCAGGAAAAACCCCACTCAGTTTCATAACTTAAGATAAATGCAAACTGACTAGGGGAGGAGAGAGGATACAGCTCTAATAACACAAGCATTTCCATGGCTATGGGAAAAAAAAAAAAGCAGTGTATTAGCAACAACAGATCTGTTAGGTGTTATGTTCATCCAAACTGGAAATTGCTGGAAGTCTCAACTTCTTAGACCAGCACACAAACACCTTCAAAACCTCCTTTCATCTATTTTTCTACTTTTTAATCAACTCTGAATACTTCTCTTTATTCTTTCATGCTTCTGAGCCTTTGTGCATGTCTTTTGTCTGGAAGAATTTCTGCTTTGTATTTCTGCTTGGTGACTTCTAGTTATATTGTAGGTCTAGCATAGCATTTCTTCTAGAGTCCGTATCACAGTTTCTTTCTTTCTTCTCTTCTCTATCTCTCTCCCTCTCTTTCTCCCCCCCCCCACCCCCGCCCCACCTCTCTCCAGTACTGGGATTGAAAACAGGGTCTTAGGCATGCTAGGTGTTATGGGCCACGCTATCTGGGCAATGACCAAACAGACTCCATTTTACCCTGAGACTCCATGTGACTAAGAGAGAAAGAAAATTAAAAGTTATTTTTTTTCTTTAAAATGTAGCCTTTTTATTATTTTTATTATTTCCTCTTCTTCGTCTCTAGTATCTCATAAGTGATGATGGTAAGGTTACTGGTTAGCTTTGGTTATTGGTCTTCAGTTTCAGATCACTGATCAAAGCCTATGTTCTTAGGAAATACTTAATAAGCATATACAGATTTTTTTTTCTCAGTGTTGGAGATCAAACCCACGGCCTTGCTCATGCTGTGCAAGCAYTCTAAGCTACAAGCCCCAGCTCTCTATATAAAGATTTTTATTGATTTTGTTTTTCCACATTTAGATGAGAGTAAAACACTTCATTCTAAAAATCCTATGAGTAAGAATTTGATACATTTTAGTGCAGGTGCAGTGAATATTGCCTAACCATCTTACTCTACAATAGTTTTGAAACCTGAAGAATTTTAATCATTAATTTACATTTACGATAATCAACTTTGTACATTTTATTTTAAGAAAATCCAAGTGTTTATTTGTGTTCCTGAATTCACAAATGACAGCAAACCATGTTTGTCGTATTTGATTTTGTCTCCATCAGACATTCGATTTTGTTCACACCTGGAATCCCAGGGGCTCAGGAGGCTGAGTCAGGAAGATAAGAGTTCAAAGGCAGCCTCAGAAAAAGTGAGAGGCTGAGCAACTTAGTGATACCCTTTTTCTAATTAAAATACAAAATGGGGCTAGGGGTGTGGTTCAGTGGACAAGTGTCCTTGAGTTCAATTGCAGGTACCCAATAAAAAAAGAAAAAAAAAAGTCCCTGTTTATTCCTGGCTCACAACCCATCTTTAGCAAGGAAGCAAGGGAAGAAAGAGAAGAAGTGGGGTGAGAGGAAGGGCTGAGAGATGGTTAATTGCCTGTTTTATGATTTGGATTGAGAAATAGAAATTAAGAGCTGCCAAGAAGAGAACCAGTATCTCCATTATTCATACTCCCACACTAAGCCCCAAATTTCAATATTTGGAGGTTTTTTTAATCTTGTCTTTTTATTAGTGTTCACTTCTGCTCTTTTAATTGGGTGGGGGTTGTATTTTCATTATTATGTGCATGAAGGGTATTTTTATTTTAATGTAAGAGAAAGGTCACAAAGTGAAATTACACTTACATAATCAAATTTTAATTTTAAAATAAAAGATCATGAGCAAAGACCAAAGATAAAATCAAACCATCCTTTATTTTCCCAGTTTCCTGATAATCTGACGATTTGGAGTACTGAGGTGACTTTATGCCTGGGAGAAAAATAATGAAAGAACTAGTGAGAATTTATTGTTCAATTTATTGTTCTGTGATGTAGCAACCAAAGATAAGTCACCACCCAAATAGACAGAGTACACTTTTAGGATGTCCCAATTGGTAGAGAATGGAGACAGCACAGTAACAACAATCAAATGTGATAGGGACAGCTGGGCACTGTGGTTCATGTCCTGATCCCATCCTCTTGGAAGACTGAGGCAGGAAGATGGCAAGTTCCAAGCCAGTCAGGCCTGTCTCAAAATAAAAACTTCAAAATGGGCTGGGGATGTATCTAAGTGGTTAGAGGATTAGCCTATGTTGTGGCGAGATTGCAATAAATCACTGAGTCCATCTTAAAGCAAGAGATGGAACCATCTTTATTCACCAGCTAGTGGTCCAGATCCAATAGCTGGTGGGCAGCAAGTCTTCACTCTTCAACTGCCCCCCCCCCCCCAGTTTAGAGTACTCCTTAATAGTCCAAAGCCACATTAATCATAAGTGGCTGTTGCCTTGATTCAAACCCATAAACTAACATGAGATCACAAGCAGAAGGGGAAGTGGGTCAAAATGACCCTACTTGAGTATAAGTTAAAGAATGGTTATTAATGTCTAGCCAGTGATTCACTGACAGAGTACATTGTCCAAAAAACAAATGGAAACCAAAGAGAGAACAATTTTACATTGTATAAGAATTGCCATTTTGTGTAGCCAAACATGTCATGCTAAGCTACTGTTGATGGGTACTGGGATGGGGCTCAGGGCTTCACATATGCTAGGCAAGCGCTCTACCACTGAGCTACATTCCCAGCCCAATAAAGTATTAATTTTAAAACRAAAAGGTCACTGGAAATGGCATTGCAAATGGTAATAGAAAAGAACAAATCCAGGGATGGTGTTCCACTGTGCAGAGGGGCCTGCTTCCGGGTTCGCACAGCTGGTTTCGGGAAGGCTCCGCCTCCAGGACCCTTTTCATTTGGCCTTCACCGGCCTCCGACACTCGCGCTGGCCCCCCTTCCGCAYGCGCACTCGGAGCTGTAGCCTGGGTCCTCAGGTCCCCGCCTCCGAATTGYCACCTCTGATTTGCCAGTTTCTCGGGTCTGCCCCTCCGGCCCGACCAGTGTGGAAGTCGCCTCGGGTCTCCGCCCTCCCTGCCGGCAGCGAGCGGCTAACCCGGGCGGCCAGCGGGGATGGCGGTCGTGGCGGTGGCCGCAGGCCGGCTGCTGAGGCTCCGCGCTGCCGCGGCKGAGGGGCGCTGGCACCGGGGGCGAGGCGATGCCGTGGCGCGGAGCTTCCTGCAGCCGGCCTCGGCCAGGAAGGATGCGGCCCAGATGCGGCAGGTGGCTCACTTCACTTTCCAGCCCGACCCRGAGTCCCACGAGTACGGTGAGTCGGGGGTCACCGTGTCAGTCCCGCCGCCCCAGACTCCCAGGTACGCGGGCGCTCACGAGGAGGGCCGCCTTCCTCACGAGGAGGGGGTGTCCGTAGGCCGATCTTCTGCYTTTCGGGCTCAAGCCCCGCCAGCTCTAGCACCCTCCCAGGCTCAGGGTCTGACTCCTCGCCCTGTTTTTGTTACTAAGCCTTTGAGACGCAGCCCCTGGGCACCTGCGAGATGGGCAAGAGGGCATACCACCTTCTGCAAGCGCCTGAGGTGGAGAGGTGGTGCCCAAGGAATCCTGTGTCCTCTGTCGTCCCTTCTTTCCCAGCCTGGGCCTTGGGTGCCACTCATTTTAGGCAGCAGCAGCATTTAAAAGACTTATTTATGGCTTTTGCTCGTGGTAGATAAGAGTAAGCTTCAGGACCTTGTAACTGATTTGATTTTCCCAAGGTTGCAGAACAGGTTCTTCCTTCAGTCGGGAAAATCCAGSCTTTTCAGGAGGCTGAGGCAGAAGGATTGCAAGTTTGAGGCCAGTCTGGGCAAGTTACTAACCCTGTCTCAATAAAATAAAAAAGATTGGSGATGTAGCTCAGTGATAGAGCGCTTGTCTAGTATGTGCAAGGTCCCGGATTTAATCCCCATTCCCAGGAAAAAAAGAAAAAATGTAGGCTTTCTATTTGAGTGTAGTGCCAACCTTGTGCTGGGCTATGGTGCCACTTAGCTAAGGAAGATTAATTGATGTAGGTGTTGGGAGGTGGAAGCTATAGGAAGGGTTTTTGGCAAATACTTTATAGTATGACTTTTGTGCAAAACTTTTACTATTTTTTTTAAAATTTTATGTAATTTCCTAAAGATCCAGTGTCTGTCATCGGAATATCAGGAAACTGTAAGAAAATGTTTTCCATTTTCATGTCTAATAACTTTTTTTTTTTTTTTTTGAGAGAGAGAGAGAGAGAGAGAGAGAGAGAGAGAGAGAGAGAAAATCTTTTTTGTAGATGGACACAAACACAATGCCTTTATTTTTATGTGGTGCTGAGAATCGAACCCGGGTCCCGCCCGTGCTAGGCGAGTGCTCTACCGTTGAGCCACAATCCCAGCCCCATGTCTAATAACTTTTTATGTGACAGGGCTGACATTTTTGGAAGTATGTCTTTACTTGTGAATAATAAATATTAACATTTTTTAAAAATTTTAATTTGGGACCAGGGATTGAACTCAGGGACACTTAATCACTGAGCCACATCTCCAGTCCCCCACCCTCTTTTAAATTTTTTTTGATTTGAGACAGGGTCTTGCTAAGTTGCTTAGGGTCTCCACCAAGTTGCTGAGGCTGACTTTGAACTTGTGATCCTCTGTCTCAACTTCTTGAGCCACCAGGATTATAGGTGTGCATCACTGCACCCAGCAAGAAKAAGAATTTATTGAGTGCTTATCACTGAGAGGCAGTGAACTGAGAAATTTACATTCGTCATCTCATTTTGATGCTTAGGACAAACTTAAAGGGTAGGTAATGTTTTTATTCCCATTTTGCAGTTTCATTAACTGAAGTCTTGAGATAGTTTATCCAAGGTGACACAATCATGTCGGTGGCAGCTCCAGCTTTGGAATCTAATCATTCAGATTCTAGAGGTGATATTGTAAATATTGTAGACATGGTACTAAAATGCATATAGAAAGAATTTACTAAGAGGGTATCCCAGCTTTATGAAACAGTTGATAGATACCATAAAGGTGAATACGAATGCWTTTCACCAACAGGATGAACCTCAATTCTGTCTTCACAGAAAGAAACTCTGACGCAATGCTTGAGAAGTAGGGCATAAGTCTTTTTAATCCCCTTTCTACAGTTGTGAAATAATTAACATCTTAGTGCTGTCACATTTGTATGTTTTTATAAAAATAATACAAGCATATTACATATAATTTACATAATAGAAAAGTAAAGGGTTGCCAGGTGTGGTGGAGCACACCTATAATCCCAGCTGCACCAGAGGCCAAGACAGGAAGATTGTGAGTTCAAAGCCAGCCTCAGCAACAGTGAGGCACTAAGCAACTCAGTGGGACCCTGTCTCTAAAAAAAAATATAAAAACGGGCTGGGGATGTGACTCAGTGGTTGAGTGCCCCTGAGTTCTCCTGGTACCAAAAAAAAGAAGAAAAGTAAAAAGTTATTTCACCATTCACTTCAGTAAATATTGCTAACATTTGGGTGCATCCTTCCAGCTTAGTGTATTTTCCATAATTGTCATCTTCATATAAATACAATTTGCTTTATTTAATCAGAAGCTTTTCACATAAGGGTACATAAGAACATATAGTTATTATAAACTTCTTTAGAATTTAGAGGATATGTACCATAGAGATACTATAATTCAAAAGTTAGAATCATCTTATCCTAGGTTTGTTTTGTCCCTGCCACCTGTGACTTTGAGGTCATCACTTATCCCCTTTAAGCCTCAGTTTCTTGCTGGGTGTTGTAATGCATGCCTGTAATCCCAGCAACTTGAAAGGCAAAGGTAGGAGGATCACAACTTAGTGAGACACCATCTCAATAAAAATAAAAAGGGCTGGAGATGTAGCACAGGGGTAGAATGCCCCTGGGTTCCATCCCCAGTACTCGGGGGGTGGGGAATGGGGGAATCTCAGTTTCTTTATAAGAGGTTAATAATTATATCTACTTCACAAGGCAGTTAGGAGGCTTACATAAGATAATATTTATAAAATACTTAACATGATATTTGATAACTAAGTATTCAGTAAATGGAAACAGTAATTACCATTGTGCTTTTTATTGTTACAGTTTTACAATGTTATAAATAGTATAAATTTAAGCATTTCTTGTATATGATTTTTATGTTTCTGAGATTATTTCTTCAGTATAGAGCCCCAGGGGTGAGATTTTTAACCCTAATATATGAATGCTTAATAGATTTTTAAATGACTGGGTTATACCCTGTCTTTATAAGACTATTATATTGTTTCAAATATGAGAATGTATAAGAGTTTATTAGGTGTTAATGCTAAATTCACAGGTACACACATATACACTATATTCAGATTTTGTGCTAACTGCACTTTGTTTTAATTTGCATTTGTTTAATTTCTATTGAGAAATATTTCCCCATGTATTTGTTCACTAGGTTTATTTTCTCTGTGAATTGAATGTTCTGTGATTTTTTTCACATTTTAAAAATTATGCTCTTAGGGGTGGGGTTGTGGCTCAGTGGTAGAGCACTTGCCTAGCACTGGTGAGGCACTGGGTTTGACCCTCAACATCACATAAAGATAAATAAAGCTATTGTGTCCATCTACAACTAAAAAATATTTTTTAAAAATTGTGCCCTTAGTATTTTTCTACCAATATTAATACTTTCTGTCATTATTGAGTAACTACTCTTTCCAGGTGTTGTGAGGGCGATCAGTCCATAATCCTCATAATAACCTTGTGAGTTACACAGTATTTTTCTCTGTTTACAGGTGAGAAAGTTGAGGCTCAGAGATGTTAGTGGCCTTCCCAAGTCTGGTAAATCGCAGGGCCTGAGCTTGAAGCCCAGTGTGCCTGACTCCAAAGCCTACATTTTAGCCTTATGTATTAAAATTTTGTATAATTAAGATATTAATGAAGATAGTAACTTTTTGCCTTTTTTATATGTTGCAAATCCTTTTCTTTGGTTTTTCTTTTTTGATACTAAAGATTGGATCCAGGGACGCTTTACCACTGAGCCATATTTTCACGTTCTTTTTATTTTTATTTTGAGACAGGGTCTCACTATGTTGCTCAGGGCCTGAGTTGCTGAGACTGGCCTTGAACTTGCAATTCTCCTGCTTCAGCCTCCCGAGCCACCAGGATTACAGGCATGTGCCACCATGTCTGATGCAAATACTTTCTTTACTTTTATTATTCGTTGGTTTTCTCTTAACATGTAAAATAGACTGCTTAATTAATTGGTGGTCAGAGTGGACTCTGAGTAGGTGACATTTAAGCTGCACAGTGAGCTTTGACAAAGAATCATCTTTGCAAAGACCAGGGGGAAAGTGTTTTTTTCAGGAAGATGAGTCTGGTGAGCTTGTGTTGTGGTGACTGAGAAAACCTTTTAGTGGGGGTGTCTTGAACAGGTTGAGGTGGACAGGTCTCTCCAAGATCAGGTGGAGACTGGATAGTCCTGTGTTGTGGGGATGAAGGTCTTCTTTCCAGGATTAGAGTTTATAGGGAGCAGAATAATGTAAGTAAAGATAAGTGAGAAAGCATCGTGTTTATGTGAGGAATGGGGAGGTAGTGAGTTTATTTGCAGGAAAAACAGAAGGATTAAGAAATAAATTTTAAAGGGTAAATGGAACTTTGARAATTCAGTCTAAAGGTTGATGGGGGGAACAGATTGCCTATCTTCAATGTACCCCATGTTATGATGGGTGCATTAATTTGGACTCAAGTTTTGCTGGGCTGTGGAAGACCATTGGTTTTTTTTTTTTTTTTCTGGGCAAAAAAGTGACTTTTAATGTGCTTGTGTTACATTAGTAGGAAAGTTTATAGAGTCAATTAACGAATGGGAAGTAAGGAGGCTGAAAGATCAGATATTGTTGTTGTCTGTATAAGAGGATGTAATTGTGCTTGGATGGTGCTAGGGGGTTGTATGTCTTGACCATATGACCAGGTTTGTCACTGTTTTACCTGGGGGGGCCTAGGGAAGGGGTATGAAATATTTTTAGCCTGAGAACCTGCAAGGATGGTAAAGTGGTGATATCATTGATACAAGTGGCAAATGCCAGAGAAGAAGCACATTTTTGGTGGGAGAGAGAGAAAGAGTGGGTGAGCATGTGAGCTTAGGAAATGTTCTTAATAAATTCCTTGAAGGAAATAATTCAAGGAATTTTCTCTAAAAAGATGAACAATAGAGACCTGGCAAGGCTTCAAAGGATCCCTCTGAAAAAGAGTATCCAAAGAGGTGTGAAGTGCGTGCCAGCTGGAGGGGTCTTGCACATGTGAAGGTCCTGAGGTGGCAGGGAGCTTAG